TTATAGCATATTGGTTCTTGTTTCTAACCAAATTTTTGGCACCTTCTGTGCTGGTCTCTGGTGGCTGCTGGAGGTTTTGGTATTTAATAGCACTATTTCAGTTAATTTAATTGAATTGACAGAAGAAAAAATTATGATGTAAAAGAAAATATTTAGAAGGCTGCTGCTTGGGAGGAGAATAAAAAGACACATAAAGCCTTATATTAGGCTTTAGTTTGGCATAATTATGCCTGTGCAAAAAAAATTTAAAAATTAATAATATACAACAGGCCAAAGACTCAGCCAGAGATTAAAAGGCATAGCTGAATGGGCCTAAGTGGATCTCTTTAAAATAATCAAGCAATTTGAGGGAGGGGGGAGCTTTCAACATAAACTTTTCATGTACATGAGCTCCAGAGCTGTTTATCTTGATGCTTTGCATAGACCTGAGTCTGCATTTTATCTTTTTTTGCAAAGTAAAATCCATTTAATTAGAAATCAGCTTGACTTCTGGTAGTTCCTGAAAAAAACCTCTTTGTATCATCTGGCCCTACTGATCTGTATTTAATGTAATTATTTCACTAGCTTATTATCTTTAACCTCTGAAGCAGTTTTTCATTTAACTCCATACAATTCTTAATGCTTCTTATAAAATGCCAGAAGAATTCCTATTTATATTGTAGTCCTAACAGTTATTTAATCCTTCTTTTATAATTGTTTTGTCTTACTTGTTATAAACTACTATATCTGATATTGTTCTTAACTCTCATTTGCCTCTATTTCTGTTGTTTAGACTAGTAAGTTTTCATGAAAGCTTTCTGTTCCTACTTACTTTTGACCCTGTTGACCAATGCCAGCCAAAATTGACAAAGTTGTGTCAGTGGCAAGGATTTCAAATTTTTACAGGTTCTATGAAATCATCAAGTAGAGGGAGAGTGACCCAAATTAACATTACTGCTAGTAAAAAATCAGTGTGATTTCAGGTTATTTCCTCTGTTAGGCCTGGCTTAAACTGGCCAGCTAGCTGACGTACAGCTGGGAACCGTTGGATGATTTTGCTGCTCTCGGACAAGCTTAGGTAAGGAGCACAGCTGGGTTTTACAGCAGTGCCACAAGAGCTGCAGCCTGTGGCCAGAAGAAGCCTGGAGTTTGCAGTGCAGATGTGAAGCTACATAGGTTGTGTATGTGAGATAAGTGATTTCCACCTGATCTCATCTTCCCACAGCTGAATGATTCTTAAAACTGAGATCTGTAAAGCCATAATTTCCATGGAGCAGCCTTCAAATCATGTTAATCAATAGCATTTTGAGTTTGAAAGTGGTGTATATGCTGATCTAGCCATGATTCCAGGGCTTGATAGCAGAACGTTTGTTGAAGTTTAATGTCTTGTTGCCATATTCTTTAAATAGATGTTTCTTTTTTAGAGGGGAAAAATCCAGAAAGAGAATGTATTTGTAATCTTTACTTACATCTTACATCAAAGCATCTCTGCTTTGAAGAAATAAAATAACAATTTTCAGTTTGGAGTTGGGTTTTTTTTCCTTTTTTCTTTTTTGTTTTCTTTTAAGGAGAGGTTCAGAATTGTGCTACTTTTTTTTTTTTTTCCCCCAGTGTCTTTTCTGAAAGATGGCTTAGGTTGTTTCGGGGAAATGTGACATTATTGGTTGTTGGTGTCCGAGGAGAGCTTGAAGTAAATCCAGCATGTTGTCTTACTCATTCTGCACTGACTATTAGGGAGTAATACATGTTGTTGACACCTCCATCAACATGTGAAACTAAAAAAAAGCCAGTAATAGAAAAGGCAAGAAAGTGAGAATTGAGCAGTTCATTAATAAACTTTCTTTCTGTTGTGAGTAAAATGGGAAAATAGTGCAGCCTGTCCTTATCTGTTATCAAAAGTGCCTTCTTGCTGGATACGTTCATGCGAAAGACAGCTGTTTGTACATCTCTGTGTGTCTGTGAGTATGGGAACAAGCAACTGACTCAAAAGACATGCACTGTGGAGCTGTGTAGAGACTTAAAAAAGTTTCCATTTGTTTAATTATTTACCCTGCTTTAAACTTGTGCTTCCAAAAACTCTATAGTAAGGCCTCACTTGTACCCACTGCAAACATTAAATACATGGTTGTTTGCCTGGCAGTGTGAAGCATCGTGTTAGTTGTTACTTGAGGTGTCTTCTGCAATGGAAGGGTCAAATCTGTTAGTTCAGAGATTACCACAGTGTGTATCCTGTGGTAAACTAAGTGGCAACTCCAGCACACGCTGTTGAAGAAGCTTTTATTCTATTTTGAGACATGCTTAGTCATCCCTGTTTCGGCCTCTAGCGGGTTACAGGCATTACTCCTTATTCTCTCGTAGTAAAGCTGATGGACAGGTTAATGAGAAGGCCAGTTTGTGAGAAACAGTTTGTGGTGCTGGAGGATGTGAATTCATAGCCCGAGTGTGTTGTGTAGTGCCAGTGGAAATTGGAGAATGCATTGCACATTTTGTTGTGTGTTGGTAAAACTCACAGTTTACATCACGCAGGTATGGAGCAGCTGCTCAATATGGGACAGGCATATGTAAGAGGATCTTTATTAGTAGGGAATATGATACAGCCCTCCTGTGTCCTGTAGAGAACATTCAGCTATAAATGTTTCTTCACTGTTGTAAACAGAAAGCTTTAGTAAAGTTACTTACCTTTAATTTAGCTTTTTCTAATTGTTAAACCTGCTTATTTGATTGTTTTACTTGTGTTAGTGTAGGCTGTGTAAAACACATTGGTATCATTAATTGATAGTATATTTTGTGTTGGGTTTTTACAGTATGCAGATCTAGTACATTTTGTGTTTAACTGAATTGTTTCTTTAATGAAAATATTTTCTCTTGTCAGAATTAAAATGCTTTCTATGGTGACTTCTGCTTTGGATGCCAGGACTCTTTTGAGGACCTCGTTTGTTGTATGGTTTAAAGGAAGATGATGTTGTTAGTGAATTCTGAGCATCCTTCAGGAGGCTGATGACCCCTGTGTCGTTGGTGTGTCATGGACAACTTCAAATGGTAAAGGCGGTATTTTTGTGACTGTTCAGATTAGCACTCTGATAGAGGAAACAGTGGGTTAAATTTAGATTAGCAGCCGAAAAGAGTGAGCCCAAAAGTTCATTCCTTTCACTCTTAAAACCATTTACACTATTTTAAAAGAAAGTAAAGGTATTCACAATGGCTTTAAGAAGCTGTATCTTCACAATAGGAAGGTGAATCTTCAGATATGCTTTCACAGTTGTTTACAGCATGGGCCAAATTTAATTTCATACTTGAATTAATTTCCCTGAATCAGTGAATTTTTTTTTTCTTGTAATAAATCCCTAAAGATAATGCTTATTTTGACCATTAGTTTTTTTGTTGCTTAAGGGCTGATTTTGGCTAATGTTTCTACATAGTCTTCTCTTTTTTTAAACAAAAAATAAATGGATAGCAAGGTAAAAAAGTAAATGGGAAGCCAGACTTGGTAGATTCCAACTAAACAATTGTTTCACAATAAGATACAATAATTTATTAATATTTTAGTAGCAGTACTTTGCTTAAGATGATATTCAGAACAGCACTATTTGCTTTCTAAGAATGCTTTATCTGCTCACTGTGTTTATTCATTCTGTTTTATCAGCTCTTTTTCAAAACACCACAGGCAGTTAATGCAACTTATAAAGGACTCCTGACTTTTTGCATCTTCCTAAGTCCTATCTAGATGTCACCAGTGTTTCCCATGTTAACAGTTCTGAGCATGTTTTACTACATGTGCCTTCGGCGCCGAGCTAGGACAGCGACGAGAGGGGAAATGAACAGTCGGAGGGCTATTGAATCGAACACCCGAGCCTTACCTATCAATGTTGAAATAGTTCAGTATGCCAAAGAAGTGTTGGATTTCAGCTCTCACTATGGCAGTGAAAACAGCATGTCGTATACCATGTGGAATTTAGCGGGTATTCCCAATGTGTACCCTAGTTCTGGTGACTTTACCCAGACTGCTGTCTTCCGAACTTACGGGACCTGGTGGGATCGTTGCCCAAGTGCTCGGCTGCCTTTCACGAGGACACCATCCACTTTCTGTAGCCAAGACTATGTGGAACTTGCTTTTGAAGAACCAGTTTATCCCACTGCAGTGCACATTCTGGAAACCTATCATCCTGGAGCTGTAGTCAGGATTTTGGCATGCTCTGCAAATCCTTACTCACAAAATCCACCAGCTGAAGTAAGGTAATTTTTTTCTCCTTTATGCTTTCCTGTAGGATGTTAAATGCTACAAATAGGATTGTTTAGTGAGCTTTACTTCCTAGTATTCATCGGTTTTGTATCTGACCCACTAAAATTTTATTTCTTCATGTTTTTAAAACTGTGGTGACTCGTTTTGATAGCAACTTCAGAGATGTAGACATTTTGTAGGAATTAATGCATCTCCTAATATCAAATTTAATTTGTGTAATGATAGTTTTGGTGTTGGAATTTTTATGGCAAATAATTACTATGTCTGTATAAAACACTACTTTTGAAATGGTAGGTCTGAATTCTTCCTCCAGTAGGAAGAAGAAGTTGTGTAAAAGAGGTTGAGGGATCATGGCTGCTATATCATCCTGCTTCAAGTAGCCATGGACTCTTTCTTCTCTGCGTGGTTTAGGTTGCATGTATTGTACAATCAGGCACTGTAACTAACTGTATGGAAATGAAGCTGAAACCAGAAGCACAGAACAATCAGACAAAAGGTGATGCCATTTGTCTGATCTTTATTTTTGGTCTTGACAAGGGGTGTGAGCTGCACTTGTTTTTACAGTCACTTCAGGTGAAAGAAGCAGATTTAATTCTGATGGCTTTCCTTATATTAGTAAGTCTTGATGAAATTCCAGTTGCAGGATCAGGAGCGTGCTAACCTGAGGAATGCTAAGATAGTGAAGAAAAGCACTGTGTGTGAGGTGAGAAGCTCTTAGTGAGGAGATGAGGAAATAGAAATGGAAGGAGAAAGTGAACAGGTCAAAGCCCATAGTGGGGAAAAACTTGGGGAAAAGCCATCAGTATGTGCAACTGAAGTATTCCATATCAAAAAGAGATTAAAAGATATCGAAGAAGTAAAGGAAGGGAGAGCTGATAGAAGAAATACTTAACAAAATGTGTTCTGTTAAGATCAGTATGCCAACAAATACTATATTGCTATGATATTCACACTTGGGTGGTATAAGCAGGGCAAGCGTGGATGTTGGGTGTTTTTTTACTGATTTGCCTTTTACAGATGCTGCTAAAATGTATATTTTTAAGTCTAACTTATTATCCCTTGCTTCCTAATACTAGGCCATTGATGTTCATTCAAAAAACCTTGGAAAATCAGGTGTCATGGTTTATATTCAAAATTCTCAGTTAATATATTTTGTATTATTCTATCATCTACTGTAGTTATGGGCAGTTGCTTGTTTTACAGGTCTATTGAAAATATATTGTATAGCTCTGAAGTAAACATCTGAATTCAAGGAACAGTGATAGGTCAAATAATAATAGGCCACGTAACTTTAGAAGTATCAGTGCTTTTGGCACTGTAATACAGAACTTATTTACAGAATGGTATGTGGTGAAGGCAGTTTTAAAACTTTCAAATTCAGAACCTAATTTGAAATGACTTCTGGGCGATTACTCTGTGAACTTCCATTTAACTTTTTTATTTTATGATGTAGATTTTATTTCTTTATGGTGGAGCACAGGATAGAAACTTTTGAGGAAAGCTGAAAAGTAGTTAACTGAAGGACCTGTTTAATTAGGTACAGAAAAAAAAAAAAAGAAAATTGTACAGAGAGGTAAAAGGATACAGAAGTGAAAATACTAATATAAAACTTTGGTGTATTTGCCTTATGACTTCTCTTGAGGTGTGGTCAGAGTGAAAGCACAGATGCCGTCCTGCATACTAAAAGATGAAGTTTCTGTAGGATCTTGCTTTTTAGTTTGTAGGCAAGAATGCCCCTTGTCCTGCTTGCATAGGTTAACATTGCTGGCTGGAAAAAGGTTGTCTCAGGCATCCTTGGAAGAAGTTGTCCGTGCTGCCTCTTCAATACATGTTAGTCTTGATGCTAGAGGAGTGTTAGGAGAGTTTTTTTCTCTTTCCTCAGCAGGACTTGTCTGTTCAGAGCTGCACCTTTAGTTTGTCTCTTTTCTTCTAAAGGAAGCAAATGTCTTATTTATGATGTCTTGAAGGGAAGATGAAGGAACCCTTTTTCTACAAGAGAACAATAGGAAGAGAACAATATTTTTTCTCTGTTCATTTGCTCACCTTTATGAGGGGAATCTGAAGAGTTGCAAGAGTGCAGTCTCTTTTCTGCTTCTGTTCTTGGTCTCCTGGTTTTGCTTCCAAAAATTCTCTGAAATACCAGCTAAGAATTCTTTTTTTTTGAAGATGGAATGCTGCTGTAATCTCAGGTGATTCCTTGTTTAGCTAATGTTTTGGTCTTGAAGTGCTGCCATACTATTTTCTTCTGTTAAAAAAGGCCATGACCTACTTACTCAAAATGCACTTAGAACTTTGTTTTCCTTTTCTGACTGTTTTGATGCTTGGTTTTTACCAATGAAGCCTAAATCTGTGCAGACTTGCTTAAATGCTTATGTTTAGTGGATTATACTGCTTGAACTAGGAAAAATTTTTTCTTTTTGGTTAGTATTTAAAACATCAGGTGATTCAAAACTTTTCTGTATACAAAAACTTGTAGGCTACAAGAATCTGTGTGAGGAGCTGGTGTATCACAGTTCTTGCTCAAGTGAATTTTACGTGTTTTTGTTAAACAGTGGCTAACACCCACATTGATCAATGTATTGCTCACTTTATGCTTCAGTTGCATGAAAGACCAGCTCATGCACGTGTTCAGAAAATGGTCTTTGGTCATATTCCTTTGTTGCTGGTGCACTGAGTACTGCTGTCACAGCTTTGTATGATGCTGTCTCAGGTGAGCTTTATTCAGTATCTTTAGTGGTGGGGGCAGATCTTCATGGAATAGGAATTGACATTTACTTCTCAGAGGGTATGTAATTATTTCTAAGTAATCCTCATGCTTAAACACAACAGTTTGAAGGTTTTTTCATTATGGTTTAACTGGCATCCAGCAACTGGAGGATTCTTTATCCTCTCATATCTTTTGTTTTAAAGACAGAAGGCATTGCATCACTTTTCTCCAGGTAAAACAGTTTTTTAAAAATCGTATGTGCTAGAGAAACTGCTGTTCTAACACATGAAAACTTTTTGTGCTTTTCATTTGTGCCTCTCATACTGGTGAGAAGTATAGGAAATTCCTCAAAATATATTAACATTCCATGTACAGATTTGTTATGTGAATCACTGTAATGCAGGAAACCCAAGAAAAAATTAATAGTTTGAGATTAGGGAAATGTTGTAACATAATGTCTCAGTTTTTGTGGTGAAGAAATCAATCCCTATTTTTGATTGTGTTATGATTATTGTGGCCCTGGGACTTTGTACTGTAGTGCACATTCTGTGTTCGTAGGGTTTGGTGACAATGCTGAGTTGTCACCAAGCTTCAGCCAGTCAGAGAGGGAGAGCTTTACACATGTGTGTGGGGGGGAAATGCAGCATGAGGAGAACCCAACCAGGAGAGTTTTCTTTGTTTTTCATGGTGTATTGGATTGATGGGTAAGATTTAGCTAGCTTCTGTGATGAAAAAACAAAGGTTCTTTCCTGTTTTTTTTCCCTACTTTTTTACCCAGAAGGCTTACTCTTGATGATTTCCTAATGGCTTCTTCAGTGTTAGCCCTTTTGATAGATTTTGATATTCTTAATAGTTAGTTGTTGTTAGTATTTTTTAAAATGGGAGCTATCAAGTAAAAAATAATCTTTTCAGAAGTTAATATTTTCCTTTTATTAAAATAACTTTGGTTTTTAAGTTTGGAATATGAAACAAAGTATTGGTCCCTATTCCCCTGCTGGGGTCTTTTTAAATTTAATTTGATTGTTGTTCTTGTATCATATGTTATAGTAATACTGTATATTCATGTTCTTTTGTAAAAGCTCAAAATCAGAGATTCCTAACTACTCTGAAATCAGTGGCTGTACTTGGGGTGATATTTCATAGCATATGTCCTTCCTGCTATGCAGTGATTGCTTCTTCAATAATTAGAGACTATCTTGTGATTAATTTTTCTTGTTTTCTACAGATAAGGTGTGACACATATTAGGTTTTTTCTCACGGATGAGATGCCATGATCATTTGTCTGGGACCACTTCCATTCTGCCTTGTATACACATTCCTGTTGTTTATTTCTATTTAATATGTTTAATTTCGTGTCATTTAGAATTTTGCTGGAAAATTGAGCATAGCTCAGTATTTCCAGGCTTAACTGTGTTTGCTGTATGCAAAGTTTCTTTCTGCTTCTGAAAGTCTTAAAGCCTGTAGAGGCAGAAGCTGCTAGAAACCAGAGGAGCAGGCTAATGAAGATGGACAAAATAAAAGGCTCCCTCTCCTTCCAATGGGAAATTTATTGTATTTAAGCTGCCTGGACAGGGATTAAAAATGTTTGATGGAGCCACCCCCCACTCCCCCGCCTTTAAAAAACGGCAGTGAAACCAGAAAGGTAGTGTACTGAATGTAAAATATCATGAGTTCTTACTTGTAGAGAGTGGCATTCAGATGGTTCTTTCACTCTACCTTTTATTCCCTGAGAATCTCAGATGAAAACACCCAAAACACTGCTGATACCATCAACACATTAGAGTGTGATAAGGAACCTTCGGGCCTGTATCTCACCTATGTGTAACACACAAGTTCTAGACATTTGCATCCTTACTTCAAACTTGTTTTGACATCTCCAGGCAAACAGCTTTTTCTTGTTCAGATGCCTGTCATAGAAAAATGAATCGTGGGTATGTGGAATACAGTCATTTTTGAGAAACTCCTAAAAAGCTCATGTAGGCAGAGCAGTCACTTGAAGTACCTTTTGCTATTTTAAATGTCCTGAGCATTCTTGGAGTCCTGTCTGCGTCTCTGGTATTTCAGAATTGAATTATTGGTAGAAAATTTGCTTTGTATTTTCCCTTAATAATTAGACTGCTGTGAGCTCCGCTTATCAGCGTAATCTGAATGATTCTTAAACTGTGCTCATGATCTTCCCAGTCTTCCCTGCTATTTGTGTTTTTGAGCTCACAGCTGAGATCAGGGCTGTTGAACTAGTGTGCTGAAGCATCCCTGGCATGTTTGCAGGCAGGAGACGTTTTCTTGTAGGTAATCTACAGATTTTTGCCATGCAGTTGCTTGGCTAAGAGCAGCATGTGATAATAATTGATGCAGAAGTTGCATTTTCATCAAAGGTGTGGTTATATTCTCTGAGATTCTTTATGTTCTCCTTGTTGGTCTCTATGGAGCTCTCACTTCTATTGGCTTTTAACTCAGCTATTAGTTTCTTGAGCCAAGGCATTTATTGGATTGTTTGTAGTGCTTTTTTTACTTTCTACACCTATCTCAATTTGACAATACAAGAAACCTCAGCAATTGCAAGCAAAGTTTAATCTTGTATTGCTGGAGAGAAATCTGATTACTTTTCCTAGAAACCCGTTTTCTTTTCCAAAGGCTCTCTCTTCAGAAGTAACCAGGTCTGCTCAGGCATCATCTTAACGATTAAAAACCTTTCCAAAAGCATTAGGTCAACAAAAAATTGGGCAAGCTTTAAATGTGCTATCATTTGACACAGACCTTACAAGTATGATTCTCAGCCTAGAAATCACCAGACTGTATTTTCCTTCATGATGAAGGAAGAGGAATGAGAGGTTTTTTTATATTTTTTTAATTTTTTACCACATAGGTGTATGGAGTCTTTAGTATCAGAGAAAATTGAGTTCCTGTCTTCATGAGACAGAGAGAAATTTAATGGAAAAACTGAGTCCATGACTGAATGGCTGAATGGAGAAATTCACTTAATGTCCTCCTTTTCTTCAATCACTAGAGAAAATAATACAGATGTTGCTGACTCTTATTCAGGCTTTGCCTGGCACTCCTTGCTGGAAAGACTGAGGCTTTCTAATTGCTGATGAAACTGTCTTATCAAAGCATTCTCTCTCATTGTGACATCTTTGATCAGCTGTTACTCTATAGCTGCAAGACTGGAAGACAAACAGTGTACTACCTGAATTAATTTGATTCTGCTTGATATTTTGAGAGCTACCTAATTAACTCAGGGCACGGGGCAGGCAGAAATCCTTTGACTTCTTTGAAGGTATTTATTTGGATTCAGTTTCTCTTTGTTTTGGGTTAAATAGTTTATTGAGCACTGTAAGCTTGAAACAGATGCAGGCAACCTTCTTAGGGAAACTGATTTTGATACATATCCTCAAGCCAGGATTGACTGTAAAAATGCCTTTCTTATGAAAGATTTTTAAGTGGACTACTGTAACAAAAGAATGTTCCAGAAATTCTTGCTGAAGCCTGTTGGAAAGTTAGACTTTTGATCCTGATGTGAATTCTTCACTCCCATTCTGTTTACATGCAGCCTGTTTATGTACCACAGCGGTGATCCTAGAGATAGAGATCACTTCCACTTGTAGTGGGATGGATAGAGAATAGTAATGGCTTAAGAGCATGCAAAGAATTTACCATGCCTACTCATGGGAAGGATTTATGAGCCCTGACTCAGAGCAGTGCTATTGCCTGCTCTTGTGTGTAGTGCCACCAAGGCAGAGAACATCATCAAATCAACCTGATAGGCTTGAGGTTTTCCAGATAAACCAAGAGCTTACTCTTTTGAAGTTAGATTGGTGGGCTATTGATGAAAAGTAAACAGTATGACAAGGACAGTGGAAAATTGTCACTGGGTTTGTTGTTCATCAGCATTTCGTGTGCAATGTGGAGCTTCACAAGATTGTGAAGTCATGCTGCGTGTCTTCCACTTTCCCTAGTTTATTACAGAGACTGGAAACTGGTTACTGCTTGCTGGAGCTGGTTATTGCACTACAATTTGATGAGCCCAGATCTCTAGATGCGTTATTTTTTTCCAGAGCTCTGCAGCTGCTAGATAATCCTCTCTCCAGGGTCCAAAAGGAGAAGTCAATAACAGACACATTCTGCGAAAAGTTGATGGTCCAGTGTGTGTTAGATTAGTGAAAAAATAGCCTTGAGTTTCCCTAAGGATACTTTCAGTGGGTACATGGAAGTGTCTAAGCAAAATGTCAGATGGTGATCTGGATGTGTTCAAGGAAGGTCATGTGCCTTGCCAGCACTAAGTATTTGCTTAGAGAATCAACCTATGTGAGTGGATATGATAGTGGGACTACAGCTGTTGCTTTGTCATGACTTGACATTCATTTTGAAAATTAATTAAATCTTTTCTTAATACTATGTCACTCTTACAAAAACTGTTAATTTTAGGGTAGAGCTGTCCACTCTCCTAAGTTAGTACTTTGATGTGCCATGTGCTCCCTCCTCTTGTACGTTTGTCTTTAGTTCATGGCATTTTTGATTTTTTTTCCTTTGAACATAAGAGTTCTGCAAATCTCCCATACAAAAGGCACTTGGAGAGCAGCATGATGTAGGATAGGAAAATTTATCTGTGCATACCTGAAAATATCCATTGTGAAAATGGAAGTTTCAGCCACTAGGGATTAATTTTCTTAATTTTCCTACTAGCAAATATCAAACTTCTAGACCTTACTTACACTGTGTGCAGCGTTTTAATGAAAATCCCTACATTTGTTTTGCTTTCTGTTATGATGGAAAGGGTTTAAGCATTTGGTTCTGAAAGCAAAGCATGATTAATTTTATTTTCTAATTTATATTTCTCCTTTTATCCCCACAAGTGTTCTGCAGTAGGTACCAGTGTTGAGCAATACTTGTAAATTCAAAGTGTCTGGTAGGAAAAGCCAAGATGCTGAGGTACTGGGGAGCAGACAGAATGCTTCAGAAATTCATGTGACAGGACAAGGAGTCTGGGAGAAATCCTTGAAGCTGGGATAGGGTGATCAGAAATAGATGGCATACATGTGGATGTGTCTGGATTAGTGTCGAGGTAAGCATATTGTCAAAGGGAGTAGCAGTAATAACTTCTGGAGGCTTTCTTCTTTAGGAATTAACTAGACTTGAGGGAGGAGAAACATGGACATAAGTGACGGAAGGATCTGCATTCACTGAGTGAGGACTCATGCAGATACAGAAGAGCATGTTTTAGGCAAGTTTGGGAGTGCTGAAGATCTAAGGAATGTAAGGCTTGGTTCCTCCAGATTACTCGGTTGGCAGTGGATTTCCTTGTCACTTAATGGAGGAGATTTTGGGTCTGTGTGTGAAAGTAAGGATGTATGTATGGTGGTTCTGTGCATGTCCTGAGCTTCTGTCCATCACTGGACCAAAGAAGAGAAAGGCTTTTCTGTTCAGCAGTTTGGAAATTCTGATGTCTTTTTCAAAGGACCCTTTCAAAAACTACTTGAAGTTTCTACTTTCTTTGCTAATTTGTCAGTAAATTAGTTCTAAAAGGAACATTTTGCTTGCCTAGGCAGATAAACAAAGTAAAATTTAATATTTTGTCTGGTAACTTGTAATACTGTAATTTGGACAGGCTTGTTATTAAAGAGCTTGGGTGGTGGGGTTTTTTGCTTGTTTTGTAGGAAATAAGAGGTCAGATGACTCTCTTTGGGTTACATGGCAAGATTGGTCCTCGTGTACTTACACTAACATGCCATCATTGTGAAGACATCAGCAATCCATTTGTTTCAATTACCTTACCTGTGAGATGTTAGAAAGATTTGGGCACTGATAACACTAACAAGTGACTATGAGTCTGCAGTTAATTTTGTTATTCAGTGATGCAGAGAAAATATGCTAATGTCATGAATTAATGTGTCCTGTTAAATTCATCCATAGGATATTTTTCAAATCTAGGGAAAACATAAGTTTCACAAATCATTTTTTCAGCCATTTTTCTTGCTTGTTAAATACTTCTAACAGAAGATGTTGCCCTCTTACTGTGCTCAAGAATTGCTTTAGTAACTTTGATTTTAATTCCTATACTGTATGTGGTTTTTTGTTTGTTTGTTTTTTTGTCACAGGTGGGAAATTCTTTGGTCTGAGGCACCTACGAAGGTGAATGGTCCTCAGGCACGGCAGTTTACACCCTGTATAAAACAGATAAACTTTCCCACAAACTTAATCCGACTGGAAGTGAACAGCTCTCTTCTGGACTATTACACTGAATTGGATGCAGTAGTACTGCATGGTGTGAAAGAGAGGCCTGTGCTTTCACTTAAAACTCCAATGATTGATATGAATGACATAGATGAAGATGAGGATGAAGAAAAATTTGCCTGTGGAATGGACACCCTTAATAAACAGTTCAGCATTGTTACCCTCAGGGAATGGCCAACTAATGGATATTTTGATAAGCTGCCTTATGAGGTAAGAAAAGCATTTTTATGCTCAATTATTGCTTTGATCATTAATGGTGCACAGGTGCTTTACAGGGTATTGGTCAGGATTGTTGTTTTTTCTCAGTTGGTTCCTTGCATTCCTTGTGAATCTCCTGCATTTACTGTATAGGTACACCTGAATTCTCTGTCTGCTCCTATGGGTGGATGTTAGGTATTTGAATAGTTTCTGCACTCTTACTTCTCAAGAATCTGCACATTCACACAGTTTTTACATTAGTTATTCTAGCCTTGAATTTCCAGCTCTTGAACTTAGAAGCTTTTAGCAGTTTTCCAGTAGGTTTTTAGTTTTCATGCTTGACAAAGAAAATACACAGAAGAGATAGGAAAAGATTCAGTCAACATCTAGAAGTGGAAAGAGTTTGCAACAGGCTAAAAGTTTGTTTTCTTGTTTTCTCTCTTACAAAACTTATGGTGCTTTGTTCTTGATTTTATTAATTATTTTTTATATTATTATTAAATGAGCTGTTCCCATCTAAGTTTTGAATTGTGGTGCAGGTAAAATATCTTATAGCTGGACTTCTTCACACTGTTTTCTTTTTATGTTTGCTGCTTTTTATTCTGTCACTAGCACAGAAAACAGTGGTGAATAAAATGTTCTTTCAGATCCCCTGGCAGCATAATGGTTGCAAGTGTGCTCAGGGTCCGTAGATGAGTATTGTCTTTCCTTTAATTTCCAGTATAATGAAATTGTGGAGTATGACTGCTGAATACTATGTACAAGCCAGGCAGCTCTCAGTGGGGTGCAGCTGCTTAAAAAGGCTGGTACCCTGACTGGAGTACGAATTTAGAGATGAAATAATTACACCTCTCCTGAAATAAACCGTTGGCACATCGTGGAAAGGGGCCTTTATTTGCTGGTCAGACCTTTGGATTTGGGCAGAGACAAGATTATTCCTGCTCTTCACTGTGCTGCAGTCTGGCAGAGGCAGCAAGTGTTCATTCACTGTGGTAACTCAGCAAATGCTCAGAGTGCTTGTGGCTTGAACCAGACTCGCTTTTGAAAGGGGAGGGAGTGTGGTGAGGTGTGCTGCCACGGATTGGAAAGTGTTAGCAGAAATATCTGATCTAATCAAATGGTATTTCGGTCTTACCACATCTTTTGACTCTATACCCTGGTTTGAAGGCCACGATAGGATGACCATGCACCCTAGCCTGCAGAAGTTTGCCGAGCTTTTAAAGAGGAAAGAGAAAGGAAGAGAATGAAACAACTCTGTCTTCTCTTGAAACCAAACCTCTTGAATTTGGTTTGTTTTTTGGTTTTTTTTTTGGTTGATGCAGTAGAATAATAAATACAGATACTAACTTTATTATGACTTAGCTCTAGTGGTATTCGGTTGTTTGTTTTTCCCTCAGAGTTTCATATATGGTGTTTCATATATTTTACTGTTGATGCTTGCATAGCAGTACTGAAGTAAAGAAAGTGCTTGACATAATTGTTTGAAAGTTTGAAAACATGCTGGTTTTAAATAATTCAAGGAAATTAATTGTAGATAAAACTTCATTTAAATGTAGGAGTTTTTCTTGTTTGAAAAGGCTGAATAAATTGATTTGTAGTATCCTAGAATACCAGAGGGATTGATTAATCTCTTTTTTGTTCCACATGATCATACAATCATGAAGGTTGGAAAAGACCTCCAAGATCATTGACTCAAACCATAAATGGTTGATTACACATATTAAAATTTTAATTTTGGAAGTATTTGTGTAGTCTTGTTACTCCTATGAACTTCTGTCTCCATGTACTCTATTGTGTTTTTCTACTCTCCTGTTTGTCTACCAGCTTCCTTTTTTATCCATTTTCTAACATGTGTGGTTTCATGAATAAATTTATATGGTCTGTCAATACCGAAACCATTTTTTTTCTTTTGCTTTGATTTAAAGAAACTGAAAATATGGGTGGAATATTCGTCAGAATACTATAAAAGACTATTTCTGTACTGGTTTTGTGACAGCATAAATCCCAGTTTCCTGCTTTCTGGTCCAGCTGGAAGGGTTGGGCATTGGAACAAAATGTTGTACTTGGTAGTGTGACAGTTTTTTATCATGTTGGATATGGAAGCACTACTCTGCATGCTTTATTTAAGACTGACAAATGTCAGATTTTTATGGGAAGTGTTCAAACTGTGGATGAAGTAAGGCAATTGCTGACTCCTGTTTTTGATTGATGTATTACATGAAGAATTGTAGGTGTATATTGACTGTCAGTGTGTAACTGTCTTAAGTTTTTATGAACATACCTGTTCTTTATTTGAGCTGTTTAAAGCTTTTTCATATTACCCGCTGTAATTCACAATATATACAAGCTGAGTGGGTTTTGCTAAGTAGGCAGCAGTTCCTCCAGCCTTTGTTGTATTTCTGGAACTTCCATAGACTATCCTTTCATAGAGTATGTTGTTCCTCAGAATGGCATTAGGAATGGTTTGCTGCAGTGTGAACTCTAAAGACATTTTAAGATTGCTCCTAAAAAAGAGAAAAATGCTCAGCTTTCCGGGGCACAGACTTTTGTAGAAGAAATTGTAAATTTTTTGATGACCTAAGTGAGAGAATTTTCCTTCCCTAATCTTGGATGGTGTTAACCAGCACTTAATTAGCTGTGAAGTACTTGTGCTATATATGTTCTCTTCTCCAGAGCTACCTTAAAATTGAGAAAGGATTTTAGCAAATTCAAAGCTTTTGGGAAAGCTGAGGAATACCTGCCACAGCATACATGTTATGCAGTTTGAGACTCACCAAGATGTGCTGACTACTAAAAACCCAGCTTATTTTTCTCCAGAGAGGAGAGTCAGAAGACTCTATGTGCTCCTGTCCAAAACAGATTTTTTTGGTAAAAATTTTGGTATAGGAAGATATAAATGACATCTTTGTTATTCCTTGAAGCTGATTTTTCCGAAGGCTGCCTACAAGCTTTATGGACTGTTGGTGTCTCCTGATGTTCACTATTATGGTATGCACTATTAAATGTGTCTCCATTTGCTGGTGTAAGTTGTACTGTTGTGGAACCAGGGATGTGTGTTTTCTTAAACTGTGCTGAGAAATGTCAAAAGCAGTAGAATAGCATCTTCTTCTTGCCTTCTGTCTTTGCCTCTTTGTCCTTTACCTGGGCATGTTTTAATATCAATTCTAATTAAATGGATTCGGAGCTGTAGCAGCTCTAGCTGCAAGAATAAAAAAAATTACAAGTTATTAATTTGTCTGTTTCTGAATAAGTGGTTTACATAGGCCAGTGTATGGGTTTTTTTTCTTGGAAAATCATTTCCATATGAACCAAAGCTTCATATGGAGGAGCTGAGGAAGGAAATTTGTAGAAAGTACAGATATTGTAGGATTGACCAGCATCCAGACATTCTTTTCTGATGAAACCAAATTGTGCATTATTGTGCTCTAGCCACAGAAAATATTTTATTAGGGGCAGATGGTTGTTGCTTGCTGTTTCTCAGAAAAAAAGCCTAAAAAGCTAGAGAAACTTGTGGTTCAATAAGTATTATTAGAAATAATATATATATATATATATATATTATTTCTAATAATACGTATTGAAGTATTATTACCACTGGTAAAGTTTTTTCCCCTGTACTGAGGAGTAGAAATTCTGTCTGGGCTTATAAGCAAACTTTACAGCGGGTGAGAAGCATTTTTTCCCATCTTCTTTCTTCTAAGATGTTATATTTTTTATTTGGTAGTTCAAAAAATATGCCTGTATGTGAAATGCTGGAATCAGGGACTACCATAATAAAAATATGGATTGGCTGGGAATCAGGATCATTTTTGTGCTCAGCACACAGTGGTTTTGTGTACTTCTGTTTGTTGGATTGTGGAGAACTGTGATTTGGAAACCTTCTGGTTTTGGAGGTGTTCATTGTAGTGGGCATTGATCTCACCACGCATTTGAAGCTGGCATGTACCATGTTTGCTTGGAAATGGGAGAGGAAGTACTTTGGTACTTTTAGCCCATCATAGCCTAAAAGGCAATCAGTGTTATATAAATGATATTTTGTTTTCCTCTTTCTATTGTTTTATCCAATAAACTTTGTTTTTGCTCCTTGATTTATAAGAAAGTGTGAAATAATAATGATTATCATAATTTTTCATAAAATCACAGTAAAAACTGTTGTTTGTGAGAAACTACATTATGAAATTAGCTTTCAAAGCAGATAGCTCTGTAGCATTCTTGGAATCACCACGAACACAGCGTTGCACAGTACAGCACATCATGTCACATGCTCATTATGATATCAAATTGTACTTTATGCTAGGGTACACAGACACAAAAAGCGTGTTCCTGACAGACACCAGACTCCAGGCTAATGGTGATTAATGGTTATTAGCCTGTACGTTTTGAACCTGTTATCTTTGTTTAATCAAAAGCCAGGAAAAAAAGCACTTTATAACATAATATCATAGGAGTGATATTTTGTTGTCTGCTTTCATTCTGTATATTGTGAAGTACCATAATTTCAGTAAAAAATAAAGACAGATTTTTTTGATTGAGACATGGGAGATTTCATCTCAGGTGTGGAAAGACATCCTGTGTGTTACAGAACACTCATTGAAGTCATCAATTAGTGTAAATGGACATTGTTTAATCATTTATAGTTTTATTCACCATTCCCTGTATAGCTCATAAGTTACAAAATAACTTTCTTCTCATTGAATGAAATTTGTATTTGCTTTTATCAGACATTATGTCACACTAATTGTAGATATAAATTCTGCTAATTGTGCAGCTTCTGCTCCTAGTTATTTTGGGTATTTTAGGTTTCAAAATGTCGACAGATTCCTGAATGTCAGTTGGGTGCAGACTTGGCTGGTTATAATATAATTGCAGTTATTACATGTGTGTATATATATATATATATACACACACTCTATCTGTCTGTCTGTCTATCCATCCATCCATCCTGTTAAATTGAAAATCCATCCATCCATCCTGTTAAATTGAAATGTCTGTGCTGGTCCTCTGCATCAATGTGAGTTTCAGACACCTGCAGAGACAAAAGCCTGGGCTGTTTACAGGGGAAAGGACAAGCAAGGAGAAGAGAAGATGAAAGGCTTGAAACCAAGGATGAAAGAAACTGGAGTATATCAAACACTGTATTTTTGCATTGGAGTTGAACTAAATTTTTTTAAGATATGTAGCTCTTGTTGGAAATGTAAATACTAAATCTGGAGCTGAGTAGGAAGTAACATTTTCCGTTTTGCAGGAAGTTGAATTGTTTTGTTGTTCCAAAAATGAAGGGGGGAGGAGGAGAGGTGGAAAGTAGCTGCATAATAAAGTGATGCATTGGAGGTACAATCTGTTTTGATCTCACAAAAAGCTCCATTTTCATTTTACGTCACAGATTTTATTCTGACTTTTGGCGGACTTGTCTTATGAATCCTTCTAAGACATTAAAATGAAACATGTTGGTATTTTGAAAGGACCACAGGATTCTCTTCCGTTTAAGTTAATTTGTGAGTTGTGGTTTTTTAAATTTACACTGATTCATTTCAGCAAGTTACTGTTTCCCACCCTGCTTGAAAACAGTCAATTTAAGTTATATAACTTGAGTGCAGGTACTTATATTTTCTAGAGACAGCTCTGCTAAAGTAAACATTAATTTTTAGATTTCATTTTTCAAGTGCATTTTCTGTCAGTTCCTAAGCTAAAGAAGATTTATTTATTTTGTTGGGCGTTTTTGTTATTTCCTAAAGTGAGTATTTATGTCTGTGTGTGTGTTGATCTTTCCTTGGAAAGGAAAAGTGTGATATGAGAGGAGGAATATTTCTTAGTTTCTGAGTGTGACATAAGTTCTTACAAAAACTGTTACAGTGATGCTAGTCGGAAAGGCTGGTGATTATTCTGAAGCTGAGATGATTCAACTGATACAGTTAAAAAGGGGATTTGCCGTTCTGATTTGACTCTGGTGTAGAACCAAAATGCTCTCAAAAGTATTACGGCAAGGAAGCTGTAAAAGGAGACTGGATTATGCTGAATTTTTTATCCGTTTGCATAGTCCAGAGGAGAGGTTATAAGATAGAAGACAAAACACTGATTTTTAAAGCAGAGAGAAGAGGAATAAATCTGAAATGGGTTCAGGGTGTGGGGAAACTGGGACATTGTATGGTTTTTCCATGTACTTTGCAAATATTTCCCATCTTAAAAACTAAATATAGACAAGAAGGAGGATGCCAGTTCTGTGTTCTGTTCAATGAAAGAGCAGACTTAGTGAAAGGAAATATATAAACATAGTGTTTACATATATATCACTGTTTAAATTAGCATGGGTAAAGAAACTTCTGATTTGAAAGCTTCCTGTCACTTTCATATGCTGATCTGCTTTTTCCTTTCTTGTTTAGCATGTTGTCAAATTGAGAAGTCAGTGCAGTTCTATTTAATAGTTAATTGATTTATTTGAGAAGTTGCTTTTAAGTAAAAGGTTTTACTCTCTTTGAAGTTAGAATGTATTTTCTTATTCCTTTGCAGTTTTCCCTTAACATTTTAAGTGCTATATGACCATCTGTGACATTTTTTTTCCTGTTTTTATATAGCTCATCCAGTTGATTTTGAGTCACCTTACAGTACCAGACCTATGTAGACTAGCACAAACTTGTAAGCTACTGTATCAACATTGCTGTGATCCTCTACAGTACATTCATCTCAGTTTACAACCTTACTGGGCGAGGATTAATGACACATCCCTGGAGTACCTACAGTCTCGCTGCACTCTCATCCAGTGGCTGAATTTATCTTGGACTGGAAACAGGGGAGCCATCTCTGTTTCTGGATTTAGCAGGTCAGTGTTAAATGTACAGAAATGTTTTGACAATCTCTGCTTGCAGAGCTGCTGCACAGTAGTTTCACTAAGTATTTGAAACTTTATTAAAAGGCAAAAAATGTGTTGGATCTACTATAAAGGGTGTGATTGTTATGATGTAGAAAAAAGGAACAGCCAAAACAGTAGAAGACACTAAATATAGCAGCAGAAGTCCATAGCAGTCTGTAGAGTCTGCATGTTCCAAGCTGCTTGTGACTGAAAGGCTTCTTCCAGGGGGAGCAGTGTTTTGCTTTCTTCTGGGCTTCTTAAACACTCTGCTAGAACTGAGCTATCAAAAATCCATCTTGCAAGGAAAATGTTTATGGTTGTTCTTTGTACAGATGAGTCATCAGTAGGACTGTATTAGAATGGCTGCAGTAATAAACTGATTGCATACTAACATGGTATGAGCCAAGTAATCACTGGAGTCCAATGTAAATGCAAATATTTTCATAAAAATGATTTAAAACATTAGCCCTGTTGGAAAACAGGGGGGTTGCATGTGCATATTCCAATGAGCTGAAAATATGACTGTGGTGTAGATCATTAAAATAGCAAATTTGCAGGGATTCTTCTCTGTATAACAGCCATGTTCTCTGCTTTCTTAAGATATCATTTCTTGCTTCTTTGCTCATTTGCATTAGTTAAACAGCTTCTATCGATGCATTTCATTTAAGCAAAAGTTGTTGCTTGAACTAAGGGGTAATCAGCAATGGCAGGTGAAAGCAGAAATTGACGGATAAGAAACAGAAATATTTAATATATCTGAAAAAAGTTGTCTGAACTCTCATTTGTTTTCTGAATAAAAAGGTTAACTCAAGTATGCATTTTCTTTCCTTTCATGCCAAGTTCCTTACCTGAGGAAGTAAAATATTTTTGAGAAGTACTTTTTCAAGATGCGAATGTTGCTTCTGTTTTTCCACACCTCCAGTGTAATGCAAGAATCCTATGCTTTTTTTGTGCTTATTGGTAGAAAAAGAAAATAGACTTTGGCTAGTTGTTGAATTGAGTACAAAAATTTCTCCTAAATTTGGATTTCATGTTAGATACTTTATGCAGAGGATAAATATGCGAGCTTTAATTGAGAATACAACTCTGAAACCATGAACTGCCTGCTTTCTGATGCTTAGCTATTAAGTCTGTCTTTTCAAAACTTAACATATGTGAATCTTTTCGGCAACTTTTTTTCATTTCCATTAATTTATTTTTTTTTTTAAGCATACAGTACTGCTAAAAAGCTTTATAGGCTTGGAAGAAATTATTGCCAGATTCAGAGACTTCTAAACTTTAGAGTTTTGGCATTTCTGACTTCCACGTACTTGAAAATGACTTTATTTTTACTAATTTTTTTTTTCTTCAGTACTGAACTACTGTAACATTTATGTGTATGCAGTGTTTTTAAATAATAAATATTCATTATTTGTCTATTTATTTTTATACAAACATTTTCAGTTTGTATTTCTTATAAGGGATTATATTTATTTGTAACAAATGGGAAAAAAATTATTGACATTGTTGCAATTCTGAAATTATTTTAGTTTTAGGAAAAAGTGTTTCTTGAAAGGGATGGATGTAGTCTGGGAATGGGAGATGCAGTTCAATTATAAATGTCAGAAGCAAAGTTATAGGCTAAATAATTTGCACGTCTAAACTGTGCTTATAATTTTCCCTTCTGAAACAAAAGTTCTCCACTGTAACTAGTGGAGAGGTCTGGTTTTAAATTTTTTTTCTATCACAGAAATAATTTTGCAATCCTTCGTTCTGTGAAAGTCTTTTCTAGTAGAATCCCAACACAAATTTTTCTTTTGACAGTCTTTATCAGCATGTTTGTCAAATTTACTGACCTTCAGGAGAGGAAATTTTGCTGCTCATTTGCTATGGAAGTATCTATTAGTTGAGGAGACTCATTAGAACAAGATTTGCTTTTCAAAGGCATTAATCTAACTTGTTGAAAAAGGAGCTTCCTGGTAAGAGATGCTGTTCCTTGACAGATAAATCTGTCAATAAATTCTTTAGTTCTGTTGCCATGGATCATTAAGATACCACAATCTGGGGAATATTACAGCATCCAGGACACATAATCAAGAACTCAAATAGTTTTTCCTTTCGTCCAAAACCAGGACACGTCCAAAACCAGGACACGTATATTTAACCAGGACACATATATTTTTGCATTTTTTTCAGCATTTGGAGTTAGTTGGCAGTGTTGAGTTCAAAACCAGTAGAGTTGGTTTAATTCTTACAGTTGTACGAATTAAACCAACTCATAACTTAAACTATGATATACTTAATCATAGTTTAAGTTATGATTTAGTTTAAGTTATGATTTCTACAAGTCAGGGTATGTTTAAATGCTACTCTTGATTAAATCTTATTTTAGAAAATATTTTTAAAAAATGTTTTTATCTGTTGTTTTTTATGACAATCTTAAAAGTAGTAGCTTGTATAAATTTGTCATTTTAAAATCTTCATATATGCATGGAATGATTGAAAATGCTAAGAAGTTATTGGAAATACAGATCTTCTTAAAAAATGTATTAAAGTGAAAAGAAGTTAAAAGTAATTTTAGGAAATGTGACTGGAGCAAATACTGTATTATCATGAGAAGACAGAATGCTTCAGGCATATGAACATCCTGAGGCAAAGCTGAAGGTATTTTAACTTATTGATAACATCTACTCCTTAGGGCTAAAAATTACTATCATACATTTTTCATTTCAGCATATAATATAAATTAACTAAACTTTATATTAGATTGAACTAAAAGTGTACAAAAAAAGTGAAAGGAGTATCTGAGCAGTCTCAGGAGTCTGAAATGCAAAATGATGGGGAATAAGCAAAGATTTCACAGCAAGCATTACATAAGCAGCACTGCATTTCTCTTGGCTTTAGAGGTCTGGTGAAACTCTTCATGCCAGGGGGAAATATGAGTGTGGGAGGGTAGGACCTATGTAGGAAGAGTGAGGAGAGTTGATTGGAGGAGTACTAAATATTGAGACACTGAATAAATGCTCTGAGGTTTAAACAGCTCAAGGACAATGACAGTTTAAAAACTGAGTTCTGCATGCAGATTTTCTTGGATCACTGATAATGTCATTAACTTGTTTAAATTCTTTTGCTTTAAACATCTGAGGAATTAGGATTTTTGTTTACATCTGACATTTTACACTGTGAAAATGAATTAATAGTGTTTTATTTTCAGGTTAGTGATGCAGTATTTGCATGGCAAGCACATCCAGGAATATTTCTTGAACAGTTTTGTTGTTGTTCACGTTTGAAGGCTTTCATTGCCTTTAGTAGAAGTGTGTTTTGACAATGTTTAATTTGGTGAGGCTTTGCTAGAAGTCAGACTAGCAGGAGGGTCAGAGAAATTACTGAAATATGCACCAGTCACAGGAAATAGGAGTAACGTGTGACTTCACAGGGATTTTCAGTTTAACAGTCAGGTCTGTCTCTTGATTTAATTTCCAGAGGTTTTTAGTAAAACTAGGGTTGGCTGTAACTGAGACTAAGTTATAACATTTGTTTGCATGTTTTTCTTGAAATAGTTTTATCTGTGTTGAGAACAGCACAAGATCAGGTACTTAATATTCTACTTACTTAAATGCCGTGTTTTAGAATTGGCTTACCAAAAAGAAGGTGTAATACATGAATACATGCTAGAGTAGAAAATCGAATAGCTAGAGGAAGGGAAAGTGACTTCATTTTAAAACCAAATTACCTTACAAAGTCTCAGTCTCAAGCATGAATACTAGCATGCGCCAAGAGAATCAAGATGTGTGTCCAAATCAATTTGTCTGGCATGTGGTCTCACCATTCTGTGCTGCTCCTGTCCTTCATCTCCTAATCTGTGTGCCCTGAGAAAGTGCCTGCACAAGTGTTCAAGGATGTCAGAGACCTGACGTGACACTTCAACCAACACACGCCTCTGTTCCAGCCCTTGTGTTGCCATTTGTTCTTCATTGTACTTCTAAGCCTCTGTGTGCCCAGTTGTTCTCCACTCATACCTGCCTTAACACTTGTTAGTTTCCTGTGCTAAATGCTGCTGCTGTCCTGTAACATGCCAGTCTTGAAAGGTAAAGCATCGCTGTGAATTTAAAAATGTATTAACATGTCTTTAAGAAGGATATTAAAATGGAGTATGACAAACCATTTTATTAAACACAGGACTGAAATTGTAAGGCAGAAAGTCCTCTGTGAGTTTGTGCAAGTAATCATATAGATAGAACTAAGTGAGAAAGCGAGGACCTCAAGATCTTGGAAGTGAAATGAGGAAGAACAAAATCCATGTGGGTTTTGACTTTTTGCATGTCTGGTGGCAGGCTCTGGAAACAGGAGACCTGAGTAGCAGGAGGGAGCATGTGGTTGGCTTGAAGAAGACAGAAATGGTTGTTTTTATTAAATACTAATTCTAGCAGGTTTATACCAAGGAAGGCCTGGCAAATGGGGCAACATTTTATCTGTCAAGTAGCAGAGATAACATCCCTAACATGGATGCCAATGTAAGGTAATACTACAAGGGAAAACGCTAAAGAAAAAAATATTCTGTCCAACCCTATGTTGTTCACAAACATAGGAAGTTGCTTCCCTTTTCCGCCCTCTCTCTTGGATACCAAATTCAAATATATATCAGTGAGTATAAAACCAGTACTGAAGATGTTTAGTTGAAAAAAGATTTGGTAAAATCAGCATAGTAGAAAACTGTTGTGTTAATTGCACTAAAGGAGTATAAAACTATGTAGCTAATTGTGTTTAGGGATGATGAGTAGATGAAAGAGAACTGGACTGTGATTCCTGCTTGTTGTAGGGTCTTCAGTAATTCTGAACTGGGAAGTATAAAGTGAGGACCATTAAGCTAAGTGTAGATTTTGTAGCCAGTGCAGTTTCACCAGAAACCATTGGAGCATATGTGATGTGTTCAGTACCTGCATAACCACATGTGTAAAAGTATTTTGAGAATTATTTTTGGGAGGTCTTGCATTCTGACATGAGCAGTACCTTGTACCTTGGATTTTCATTTTGGATCATGAGATATGCTTATGATGTACACATGAATTACAATATTGGAAATTGTTAATGGGCTAAGTGACCCTGTGATCATGATTGATTTAATATCACTATGAGCAAGTATCATCGTGCCTCCTAATAGATGTATTTGATGTTTCAGAAAAACTTCACTAGGACTTACTTCCCAAAAGCTGAAGGGGTTGAAAATAAGTGGCAGGTCTTGAGAGTAGGCAGAAGGTGATGGAAAGTGAGATTCCTTTTTTTATTAGAAACATCAATCCCCTCACCCTTGGAAAAAAACAAACCAAAACAAGGCCCCCATCCCCCCTCCAAAAACAAAAGCAAAAACCAAAACTGAACAACTAAAAGGCCTGAAAAACTGCTGTCTAGAGTGAGGATAAACTTCAAGGGAAAAGCCCAATCCAGTGTCTAGCAAAAGAAATGTACGTGTTCACATTATCCTAGGTTGTTCAGTCATATTTTATAGCAAACATGAAGGGATGAAGAGAAATCACTTCAGACATGGTGTGTATAAAATATTGATAATAAAAACAAAACTAAAGGGATGGATGACTGCAGAACAGAGGAGAGACTGAGAACAGGAACCAGTCAATCCTTGGTGATTAAAGGGAGAGTTATATGAAGAAATGTGAAGAAATTTTGATTTGGGTAGAAGGTGCTTTTTTTGGATGTTGTTTTCAGACTAGCTAAATTGAGCCAGTCACTCAGAGGCTGTTAAGTCTCAGAAGTATGAAGACCGTGCCACATTTATTTTGAAAGCATGAGAACTCATATTCTACCTTGCCATATGGCTCTACGTGGAGATCCATGTAGAAAGACAGCAGCAAAAACCTCTATCCTGAGCAGTCTGTTTAATGCAAACAAAGGTCGGGGTGTCTCCATCTTTCTGAGGACTGTGCATTTCTGCCCGGTGTTCTCTGCCCTGTGCTGGCTGGGGACTTCCTCAGATTCCTCTTCCTCTTCCTCTCTTTCCTACATGCACGTCTGCTCATTCTTGTACCCTGCTGCTGCATGTACCTCATCCCCCTTTTGTTTTTGTTTCATGTCTCCTAAGTAACCTTTTCCAACAAGGCAGCAAAGTCATGAAGGGCAATGCTTGTTGCTGTCACCGTGTTTGGCCTCTGCCTGTGTGTTTCAAGTGTAATGAGTTTAAATAAAATGTTATGAGGATAATAACTCCTAAAGCTGGTGAGCCTGGAGTTCTTCTCCAAGTCTTCGGGGTTAACTGAGTATTTCCCTAACCTGGTAATGTTAACTTGTAATAGGTCCTAGAAAGAGAAGCGCATTGATCTCTACTAACATTTATAACAGCTAAGCCCTATTAAATTATATGGCAGTTAAGCTAACATCCATTATTGTAATGGAGTAATTCATAAAATATTTATTTGTTAGCAGATTAAAAGCTAGGGGTGTAATAAGTGGTGACTGACAAAGTTTTATGGAAAATACCATCATTCAAACAAACCTGATAATTTGTTGATGAACAAAGCTGTGTGAATGTATTGTTAAAGCACTCATTAAATAGAGGAATTGGCTAATTGGTAATCAACAATGTATCCATATATCTCTACTCTGATTTCCAGGAGATTTCCATCCTGCATTTCTCCATAACAGTGTTGAACTCTATTGCTAGTCTAAATGTTGCTAGCACTTAAATGTTTAAATACCCAACGTTAATTGTTGTGAATTGTTGTGTCATTTCAGCTTTGACATTCCCATAGGAAGGCTTACCAGTCTCTGTGAATTCACTGTGTCCAGTATGGAAACTGCTTGTTTGATTAAACTCTGACTTTAAAAGCTAAAATAGATTTTAAATAGAGACTGGAGAGTTAGAAAAAAAACCAGTGGAGGAGTAGACTTGAAGACCATACATGGCAGAGCTCCTGTGGTTCTGGGGCTTATGTCTCCCCTTTTGTGTCTCAGACCCTGTCTTTGTTTCTGTTTGCTTAGGCTCATAGAAATGTTGGATGTTAGGGACCTCTGAAGGTCGTCTACTCCAAGCTCCCACTTGAAGTGCCAGTGTCCCCAACGCTAGATCAGGTCAGTCAAGGTTTCAGGTGACTCTTGGAAACATCCAGGGATGGAGATGCCATTCTGGAATCTCCTTTTCCCTCTGTATTACATAGGATCTGCATAATCACACTAAGGCCATGTAAAATGCAAGGTGAAAGGAATAAAGGAAGGAGATAATGAATGGCAAGTATTGAGTGAATAATGAAAAAATAAGGGAAGGAGGCAGCTTGAAAACTTGGATCTTAAAAGATGTGTTTGAAGTCTTGGGCTGCTGTTGGTGTCATTGAGGAATGTCTCCCTAAATGTGTCTTCTAAGACAAGCAGCAATTTCATCCTAAGCTTCAGCATGAGCAAATGCTTGGGAAGGCTTATAACTCTTCCATTGTAGCAACAGGAGTTTTTGGGCAAGGCGGAGCCTTGTGTCTGTCTGGCATTTCTGTTACATCATTTATAAGAAGTAATACTGACTTCATGGTGGAAGGGTCAGAACCTGAAGCTGCTTTATCTTCATGAGCGTTTTTGTAGGACAGAACTGGTAAGAGAGCAGATCAGAACATTTATTAAGAGAAAATAATTCATACTCTTTGACAGGTCGCTCCATTATTATAGGAAATAACATGGAAAACTCATTACAGCCTGTAGTTTAAGAAACTAGTTTTTCTACTGGGGGAACTTTCAAAATATAACATAAGCATGGCAAATGTGTGGGTTTTTTTATCTTATTAATTATCAAGCCTACAGTCCTGGTAGTTAATTTATGGTTTTAAGGTTACCTTTTAAATGAAAAAGAAGTTTAAGTGGTTTTGGTTAAAGCTTGGATTAGAGATAAAAGAACTTGAGTTTCTTACATGAGATCTCTGATAGGAAAGTAGAATATAGAGACCATCAAAGTTTCTAAATTCTGGGTCTTTTGTCATATGATATGTTAATTTTTTATAATTCCAAATAAATTCAAATACTCCTCATGAATTTGTGTTCTAGAGCAGCTAGCATGTGTTGATTCTTAGTGAAAAGAATGAGATTTTTTTTTTCCCTGAAAGTCTTAAAACACTTCCAAATATGTAATCCACTGAAAAGTATTTGCTTTTTACATTTCAGATTTTACATTTTTACATTTTCAGATTTTTCTGAGATAAATACAAAATTATTCATGTAAGCTTGCAGGCCATTGACAAAATTGGCTTTTGACTGTTTAAAAGATTTTCAAACATGATCAGTGTTTTGCTGTGCTCCATTGTCTCAGAGTTAATATTGAGAACAAAGTATGTTCTAACTTCCTAAACCAAAACAGAATTTTCAAAACTAGTGTCTTTTCTTTGTTGGAAGGAATTATTTCCTGGTTGACATGGTTAAGGTTTTGACAGTATTCAGACTCTCACCTGAAAGTCTGTTACTTTTTCACTTAAAACATGGGGTTCTTTTACAGGTTCCTGAAAGTCTGTGGCTCTGAACTAGTACGTCTTGAGTTGTCTTGTGGCCATTTCCTCAATGAAACATGCTTGGAGGTCATCACTGAAATGTGTCCAAATCTTCAGGAATTAAATCTCTCATCCTGTGATAAAATACCACCTCAGGCTTTCAACCACATAGCCAAAGTGGGCAGCCTAAAGCGTCTTATTCTCTACAGAACAAAAGTGGAGGTAGGAACAGTGCTTTTTAATCTTTGCAATAAGTATTTTCAATCCTGATAAAGTTGGTTTTGGGTTTGGTTTCTTTTTCAATAATGAAGAAGTAAATTAGTATTTTGAGTGTAAATTCAGAGCTAAATTCAGAAAATCCAAGGGTAGTTTCAAAAACCTTAGGATTTTCTTATTTTCAACATAGCTTTTGGCCTGTGTGTTTTAACTTACATTGTAGGCTGGTGACTTTCCACCAGCTGTTTTAAGCAATGTGGTAAAATTACAAATTTAAAGCTTTTCTTTAGCCTTCTCTAGACAATGAGCAAATATAATTGTAAAATTATTATGTTTAGAAACTGTCTTTAGTTCTCAACATTCTCTCCTTTAAAATGACTTGCTAATTACTGGATTCCTACAGTGTTTGTATATTAGCAGTATTTGAGACGCAGAACACGACTTTTTTATACAACTTCTCATTTACAGTGTAAAAATTACTTCTTTATACAGTTACTTGACTGCCCAAATCAGAGTTGTTACTGCTTGCTGCAACACAATTCTGCTCTAGGATGGAATGGAATTGTGGGCTGCTGCTGAGAAGTCTCTTGTAGTTTGCTACATTTTACAAATGTTGTATCCTTATAAGTGAAGCAGTTCGAATCAGAAGAATTCCATTCTTATCTTAGTAATTATGTTACTCATATGTTACAACCTTACTACCATGGTTTACATGGAAGCTGTCCTACTTCTGTTGTTGCAAGAGCTGTGCCAAAATGGGGTAAAACCATGTCTCTGTAGGCTGTTTCATAGCTTCCAATCCTAGATTAAGCATTTTAAGATTTTTGGAAAGTTTGATTGTGTTTGAGTTGTGGTACACAGAAGTCAGGCGGTGACACTGGATTGTGTGGGGTCTTAATCTGAAGTGTAATGAAAGGAATTAAGTTGGAACAGTAGGTCCTGTCAACTAGCTGTGCAAGGGACATCTGAAGTTAAGAGTACTGTATTGCATTCATAACCAGTTCACACCTGACACACGTGTTAGAGTTAGTTGGGTCTTGTTGTCCTTTGGGGAATGCTAAGTTTGTTTGTGCCCAAGTTCCAGCTAGGAGTCTGTAATGGTGAGTAACACAGGGCAGTTAGATTAAAGGCTAATCTACCTGATGTGAGCAGTGCTTGCTGTGGAGTTTGCTGTGGAGAGTACAGTCACTGTGAAGCCAGTACCCCTTAGTAACTTGTTACTTTGTGGTAGCTGCTCTCTGTATTGAAGCAATTATTATTTTCTTCAAACCAAAATGAAAATTGGTGAGCCCACATTTTTTTGAACAGAGCTGTATTGATGCCTTGGGTGTATCTGTTCTTTTTCTACAATACTAGTCTTTCTGTTAATCTTGGATAGATCTCCTCTATTTCATTTTGACTTTTGGCTCTAAAGCTTTTTCAGATCGAGGAAAGATCATTGCATCAGAGGTAGTGATTGTGTAATTTTATTACTTTTTACTGTTGATTGATTAAAATCTTCTTGATTCTACTCAGGTGACTTCTCAAGTTTGAGACTTCATGCTTGTAATAGTGCAGCAAATGAAATGTACTCTGAGGTGATTGGTAACTGTCATTCCTATGCTATCTCTGTGCTGAGCAGAGCTTGAAATTAGATTGAACGTAGGTGGTAAATATTTCCTGACTTTGAAGCCTTTACATTGTGAAGATTCACTTCTGCCTTTCGTGTGTATGGACATGCCTCTGCTTGTAGCTGACAAGAACATTCATTCATAATCAAGTTTATTTAAGATTGTGCTTACATTTTATACCTAAGTATGAACAAAAGGCACTCTTCCTAACAAACAGTGGAAGAGAAATTTCTGGAAATTTAAATCCATAAATTGGAGACGTGCTTGGGTTATACTTGTTAATGTGAAGCCACTTCGCAATATACATTGTGTATCACAGGTCAAAAAATAAAAGGGAAAGAATGAAGATTTGGCATCGGATTTGAATTAAAGCATTGGAACTACAAAAGTCACAGATTCATAGAAATAACATTACCTTTCTTGACATGAGCTTCACTTAGTCCAAATCTTCGGTTATCTGTACAAAATAGGCTGCCATTCATGCTTCTGTACTTTTAAGCTGGTACAGAAATGCTTGTTACTAAGTGGTGGCTATATGCAAAAAAGGATGGATTAAGCAAGCATTCTGTGAAGTGATTGAGACTTCTCTAAAACTTGTCAAGGAGCTGTTTGTGTTCTTGGTTTTTGTGAAATTTCTACTGCTGTCTTCATTGTTGGAGCTTATGAGGAGCAAACAGAGGAACAATACTAGTGGTTAATTAAGAATTTGGCATTGTATTGTTGCCAACTGGATCTGCTCAGTGAAAAGAATCTGAGGCTGTGAATCCACTAAGAAAAAATGCAAACTGATAACATGTATGTGTTTATTATGGGAAAATAAGAAGGTGAGAAGAATAGATCTGATACGGTGTTCTGTTGAAGTTCTGTCTCAAAACCCATGAAGAAAAAACCCAAAGAAAAATCTGTTAATTTAATTTAGCCTGTTTTCTTAAATAATTTGGGGCTTGTTTTTTTTTTTCTTAAACCAAGCAATAAGCAAAATAAAGCACTAAACTATCATGTGTTAGAGCACATCTGGGTAAATAGTACAATTTTTTCTTTTGGTTGTGGATTTGGACATGTGATTAAACAATATAGGAAGAGATGAAGATTCTCCATCCTATTTGTTAGTATGTGATAATGCTGTTTCTGGTTTTGCATTATGCTTACTAAAAAATAGAGAATTAACATTTTAATAAAATAAATGGTATTTCTCCAATATACACTCCAAGCTACGTGCCCAAATACGGGATTTTCTTGTGCAGTCTAAGTTTTGCTGTAGCCTTTCCCTTTACTTTTTTGCCTTTTAATAGTAAAAAAGAGGGGAAGTCTAAATTTAAAGTATCTGTTGTACTTTTTCCATGTATATGATTACTGTAGATAATATGACATAGATATAATAATAATTTAATAGTAATAATGACATAGATAAGTCCTAAGGAAACACTCTGCTGAAAAATTGACTACTATTAATGTGGGGGTTTTTAGGTGCATAGATTTTGAGAACAGTGGAAACTTAATAAAATTGGTAACATTATGTTGTCTGAGCAATTGTAATTCCAGTTTTTCCTTATTTTAGCTATTTTCTTTGAATAGGTTTTGTATTTTAAAATGTTGGCATTGATTCTGTTATCAAAGCTCCAGTTTTTAAGTGTGTTTTTAATGAAATGGGCAAGGCTAGTGTATTGCTACTTAGTGCACTGCTACTTTGGTTGCTGTATCATCTGGAAAACATTGTAGTCTTTGGTCTTCACCCTCCTGATTTCTAAGGCCATGTGTAATGTTATTTCCTTGACATACTGAGTGTGAGGTTGTGTGTGTAAAATTGTTTTCTAATCTCTGAACTGAAGCTTCCAATGCCTTTGAATTATTTCAGCCTTTCTGTTAGAAGAAAGTCCAGTGACTTTCAGTAACTTTTCAGTTACTAAAAAAAGTGTCCTGCATGGCTATTCTCCTCCCCACTAAAAAATGTGGCTCATTTTTCTAGTGCTAGAAGTTCATTAATAAATGTTCTCAAAGGTTGTTTGATATGTATATGCTTGAATAATTAGTATCTTGCTTTGAGAAACTAATCTCAACTTGTGTGCTCAATACCACTATTATACTTTTGTGCCGGTGGTTTTGGTATTTACTGATATATAACTCCTTAATGTTTATTTGTTGAGAGTGTATTCACAGTATAATTTAAGCACTTGTTGGCATTGATACATTTGAAGAATACAATGAACAGTGGAAGTATTATTGTGTACAGTAATTGGCAATGCACATCTTTATCCTTGAGCATGAATATTATCTTAATTTAATGCTTACTGTGAAGTGTTCAGTCCATATAAATAATGCAGCCAAAATTGTATTTTAAAGAAGCCAAAGCCACAATTACAGTAGGAGAACTTGTCAGTCTTCTTATTGATGGGTGTAAATTTTAATGTAAGATTATATATTTCATGTTGCATATTCTGACATCTTTCTAATGTGTAAAAAAACCCCATAAAGTTTGTATTTCAATTATATTTGAGATACAAAATAAAATACATTCAAATTAATTACAATGGACAAAAGACTTTGTTTTTCACACATTTTAAAGCAAGTGTTGTGTTTATAGATTTTTTTCTCTTGATAAGTTTGACTGAAAGAAAATTTGGAATTTGGGAAGCTGCCAGAGTGTATCCTGGAAATTTTGGATACCAGAAAGAAGCAGAGGAATTGTAGCAGTAGATGTAATAATTCTTATTTTCTTAGGCCATGAGCAATATAACAGTTAATGCTGCCATAAAATATTCTACAGAGTTTTTAGAAATAACTTATTATTGGTCATGTCATACTTTTGAGAGCTATTGTTTAAAGAGTTTTCACTTTGAGCAAAGTTCCATTGGCTTGGGTATGTATCTTTAGGATGGAGAGTTGCAAGCAAATAGTGGGGGGAAAAAAAAGGTGAAAGGCACTAGCTAGAATGTGGATCCTTGGAATCAAGCTGAGTCAGTGACAATTAATTGTGCGATACAGGGCCTTGATGGTGCTTTTTGATTTCATGTCAGGCTCACAGTGGAATCTGGTTGTTTGAGCCTGTAATGTGAAGTAAGGGGGAAGAATGAAGGTGTAAAACAGATTTGCAGACATAAGGGAGGACATAATTTGACCAAATAAAGCAAAATCAAAATACAATAATTTAATTAACTGCAGAGACTATTACTTTCATTTAATTAATTCAGTAATTGCTGTGTTGCTGTGTCCCAGTCCCTGCTGTGCCCCTGGCACTGCCAAGTAGCTGTAGAGAACAAAAAGGTACCTCTGTACATTCTGAATCCCAGCTTGCAAATTATACTGGGCCTGTTTCTGAAGAGCCAAGTTGTTCTGACTTTTGAGAGGCTGCACCTGCACTCGTTAATAAGGCTCATTCCACCTTGTTCTCCTCTTACC